TGATTCAATCTTATAAAAACTGGATGCCTGGCGAAGCGGTCTGTGCTCGTTGCGAGGGGATCACTTAAAGCATAGCAATATTCCTCCCACAGACTCACACTGAAGAGTGTCATAACAGCGGGTAATGAAAGCCTTTTTCCTGCCAAAAGCAAATTCCTTCCATCCCTTCAAATCATGCCTCACGCTGGCCTGTGACCAGCCCTTGGGTGGCCTTATTAAAGAAGTTGCACCAGATAATGATTATGAATTATGCCACAGCGCTACAAGAATAGCTCGGCCAAAGTGTGCTTTTGGAAAATAACATGTACTTAGCAATGCAAAGTGTGCTGGTAAGCATGTAACATGCTGAAGTTACAAATATCAGACAGCCCTGAAACACAAAGATGAGAGAAAGTTAATCCTCAGCTCTTTGGATAATTAATTAACTTGTAGTACGAGCGGCTCTGCCTCTCTTACGTTCTCTAGTAATTAAACTGTCTCGAGAGCTGATAGGACAAAACAAGCAGTACTGAGATATCATCTGGGAAATGTTATGTTTGTTTTTGATCACAAAATAATAAATGAGCAGCGAACAGAAACACTAGCATAGGTGCACCTGGACATCTCACTTCTGTTCTTTGTCTCCATTTTTTAGGTATTTTTGCTCGTAACACTGATCATCACGCTCCAACTTTTTCACTACATCTACAAACTCGTCAGAGCATCTTTATTTTTTCAGAAATTGTGATCTTGCCCTGTGATGAAACGATCTCGTGAAATTATAAAGGAAATGTTGTATTTGTAGTTTTGTGGCCTGTGTTTTTCCCATCCCATAGTGTTTTTTTCCCAGTATAGTATCAGGATACCCGATGAGTAAGAACTATAAATTCTTTCCATTCATTTTGTCAGCAGTTCTATCTAAAAATGTGTGGACGTGAACCTGTGGAAGGATTATTAACAGATGAAGACGACCTCAGAGTGTGTCTTCGCCCTCTCAGCAGGCACACGTGCAGCTGCTGCCATCATTTTTTATTCATTCAATAAATGCATGTAAATAACCCAGATTACAGCTAACCAAGACTGTGATGACTGCCACAAAACATCGAACACACAACTGACAACAATACTGTCATTTTAAATATCATTAGGCCACCAGCACTCAACAACACACACACACACTGACATCATCAGGCTTCTGATTGGCCCACATGTCTGTATAGTTAGGCTTATATAACCACCTCTTGCTTTGACACCTCTTAACACCAATTTTTTGGCATTTTTTAAAGGAGTTGAAAGGTTGTGGTTTCCTAAGCATTAAGCCTAAAGTTCAGGACCGTCAACAGCCAGCAGCCCCACCTGACCACAGAGTTCTGCACCACAGCAGCTGTAACACGAACACCAAGCAACGCTGAACTGCTGTGTGCTCCCTGTTCGTTTTTATTGAGCTGTAGCAGGTCGGAAAGTAGTCAGTGAACTTCAGCTCCTGTACATAGAAATTGCAAACATTGTCAACATGATATTATGGTTCAGTCTTTCCAAGACGCCCATGTGTGCGTCCTAGTCTGGTGAAAGTTTGCTTACAGGAAATGCAGAAGAATGCTGGTGTTTATATGTTGTTCATGATCACAGGAACATTTCTTTTTGGTAGCAAAAACAACCAAGGCATGAACCAAACACTGGTTTTGAAGATGTGCAATAGCAGGACCGTGTTCATCTGCACGGCCAGCCAAATGTCCAGGTCACTAGTAGAACATATAAAGAGCCGCACACAGATACAGCCTGCTTTCTCTCAGCTGATGCATAAATGTGCTTTGAGTGGTCCACACCAGCCTTGGTCATTAAAACCCACAAAGCCAGCTGGGGAATTGTGCAGTGAGCTCGGTACATTTAAAAGAGAGCACTCGAGCCCTACATGATACACTGATAGCACTGATAGTGCCACTGGAGAACACGCTGTGGTTTCTTATTGTCAGCACATATTTCCACTACAGTCAATAAAACTCGATTTTTACTATAATAATAAAGTAAGTGTTATTTCCATATATTTGTGAATGGGTCCTGTTGCCTGTAGCCAGCACTGTTGGACCAATGAGCCAATAACATGAAACCGAACGCGAGCATATCGCCGTGTCTTTGTGGAGCCAAAGGACGCACACACGGGCCTCTCAGAAGGAAATGGCTGCCATTAACTCTGTCACCTGATAAACCAGCGATGATGCATCTTTGTTCGCTTCCTCGTTTCCCAGCGGTAAATATGAGAGCGGCTCTTTGACCTCCAGGAGGAGCTCGCCGTTTCATCAGGCCACATGTGTCAAACCTGATCGCAGGTCACGTTTGAAAACGCATCACTGTCACAGGTGACTAATGCAGCTGTCGCCTGAGCTCAGGTTCCCACCTTAACACAAACTGCTTAAATCCTGACACAAACCTCAAAGACAGACGAGCACATGAAACGACGGCGTGCCCGTGCTGAGTTCTTTCACTGCTGAAAATCACTTTTTACACTTTCAACATGACAAGAAAGGACGAGAAAGGTTAGGAAGCTCCTTTTTACACACACCATCAACATATCAGTTTAAACAAAAGCTGCACTGACTCTGTTAGACACACTTTGTTAGGCTGCAGCTAAAAACAGCTGATGGATTTGTTCTAATAATCAGGAACACAGAAGCACATTATACAGATCCAAATCTAAGTTATTGTGTAAGAAACTGACATTTGGATTGAAAGGTTCATCTCTGCATTCTGCCTGATAGAGCGTGTGCATGTTCAAACAGCTAAGAGGTTAGCATGTGAGGCTAAAGCTCAATAATAATAATAATGATGTGGTCGCAGCTCTGACTGGAACCACAGAAGCTCCGCCCACCTGGTGTTCAAACTAGCATACTAAATTCACTTGCAGAATTAAACATTTAAAACAGTTTTTGTGACATTTGTGAACATTTTGTTTCCCAAACTGCAAAAAATGCAAAGCTGGAAAGTTATGAGACACAGTGCTGCTGTGGGGCTTAACAAGCACCGCCCACCCACAGCATCACATACTGTGTGCTGCAGTTGTTGTGAGGACAAAGACCCAAAGAAACAGACCAGTGGATGACTCAGCTTACTGTAATTAGTCAGAAAGTGTGAGGATAATAAGTGAACAGCAGCAGGTGAACAGTGCAGAGTCACAACATTTGCCTTGTTTTCATATTTGTAACAAACAGGTAAATGGCAGCAGCAGGTAAACAGGTGTATCTGCCTCTAAACAAATAGCTTAAAGAAATGTTTAGTGCCAGAATGAATTATTGTAGGCATGAAATAAGAGAGAACAAGAACCAACTGGACGTCAGATAGAGAGGCTGACGCCGTCGTCTTAGTGCCTGAGTTATAATTTTGGTCGGCATCAGTGGGAGCTGTGGAATACCTGCACGGACCGAGCAGGCTCATTGCTAAAGGTTCATGCTCAGCAGGTCCCTGATGGTTTCCTCTGTTTCCAGTTGGACAATAGATGTTGTTCCATATCTGTCAGAGCTGAGCTCACTAAGGGCACCCACAGGCCATCGCATTTCATGTGTAGGACATGAAGCATGTTTGTTTTAAATAAACAGATTTATACCAGCAGCCGTGCTTTGGTTTGTTTTGGTCGGCAACATTCAAAAGAATATTTCTGGTTTGTGGTTTAAGACAAAATCTTTGTCTGGATTCTGCTGAGTTTGAACTCCACTAGTTCAAACCTTCAGTTTGGATAACTTCAGACTGTGCTCACTGACCAGAACAGCTCCAGCTACTTCACTGTTACAACAAACATTGGTGCGTGCAACAGCTTCTGTACAGAACGACCAATGCAAAGGCCACGAGCCAAAGCAGGTGAGTAGATAAATGAGACACAGGCATGCAGGAGTAAACCTGCACCAGGGCCCTTAACCTGCGGTTCACTGCTGGTCAGTCATATGTCCTCTTATGTTGCCAGGTTGGATTGTTGCCACATGAAAATATAAAGAATGAACTCTTATTTTTATTTCAGGAAATCAAAGTGACCATCTTACATTTACTGCAAAGCCACCGATGAAAGGCAGTTACACAGCTACTGTACGTTTACCATGTAACACAGATTTGTATCTGTTTCTGTTGAACTTGGTGTGAGACATCACAACGATCATCTTGAAGGACACACATTGTGATGCTGTTGAATTGCACATTATGGGACTTGATAATATTTCAACCTCCTGGTTTGCACTTTGTCATTGAGAGGATTCCACCGTCCACTGAGAAGCTGGATCACAAACTCTGAGAATGAATGCTCAAGGCCTTTACAAAAATGCTTGTTTTTATCCAACATGAGAACAACGACGGTCAGTTTACTGTAGAAACGAAGGACAGCAGAAGTCCTTTATCCTGCGATCAAAACAATTCATTTTGCTTTTACAAAACTCGGATAGGTGGTCGACAGCCAATCGAGATTTTTAGGACTATCACTGGACGCAGTAATGCAGGTAAAAACAAACGGCGTAAAAGTCTCTTTCTGGAGTGAAAGCTTTTGCGGGGTGTAAGAGGGGGCTTGTACGTAGGAGTCGACCAATACCAGCAGCCGTCTGAGCAGCACATCTGTGGCCAGTCAGCACTTCTGGTTCCCCAACACACATCAGCAAAACACGACCCGAGACTGAGACTCGTAAAAATCCCACATGAAAGCGCCAAGTAAGGACGAGCTCGGCCACTCCGCAGCGCATCTGCCTCGAACCAAAGGAAACGAACCTGTTCGCGTGACCTTCATCGTGCGGTCCGTTCAAAGCAAAACCTCAGCCAGCAGACATCAACAACTTGTTTATGTGCTCGAAAGCAAAAAGTGAAGTGAGGAGAGCCGACACGAGCACAGCGGTGCCGCACAACAATCACGACGCCGCTCCGGCAACAACAGGAAGGCTCAGCTACGAGGCGCGCGTAAAACTCCGCCGGTCGGAGCAGCCCCTGATTCAGGCGCGTGTCCGCCCGCAGAGCAGAGGCGCAGACAGGTGAGCGCACTGAGGTGAAACACTTACAGTGAGTGGCGGCGGATGCTCCGCTAAAGACGCTCAGCGTGTAAAGGGTAACCATCGGCAGCAGCAAAACCATTTTCTCAGCTGTAGTGCGCTATTATCCGTGAGTCCGCAGAGAGCAACGCAGGACGGCGGCTCCTCCTCGGTCCTCCGGCTTGGAGGGATAGCAGAGGTCTGATGTGAAGGAGCAAACCGCTCCCACGATGGCACTCCCTCACTGCGAGGCACAGCCCACCCCGCTCCCCTCTCTGCCTCTCTCTCTCTCTTTGTCGGGTTCACATTTTATTGGCAGAGCGGAGCACTGCGATGCCCGAGCACTGCTATAAAACACAGAACAATAGCAAAGATCCGCAGAGAAAAGCCGCAATCGCTGCTGTATATCGCTCCGCGTGTTCAGACATCATAAAATAGCACACTTTGCAGGCTGCTGATGACTTCATTCCACCGCACAGCAGAAGCTGCTGTGGACGTTTCCAGAAAACACGGGGTTCAAGCTCAAGTCCAGCGCACTTCAGCACCGATGACAAACGTTTGGACACGGCTGTGTGGGAAATATGAACAGTCACTGTCACAGGAGCATACTTTGTTTCATCGCAACAAAATATTTGGTTGTACTTAATACCTCATTTATTTTATTTGACTTAAGATCATATTTGTTTTGTCAAGTTGAATTTGATTTGACTGAGTCCATACCAGGATATTATTTAGACCGTTTTGTTACAGATTCTCCTGTCGTCCATCTTTAAAGCGCTAGACAAACGTTCACATAACTTATTAGGAAGAATATCGTTTATGTATTTATTTTTATTAGCACTGTAGCTCTTTCACAGCTGATCTTTGGTCGCTTGCTGTTGTTTCATTCGTTTTAGTCCAGTCTTTGTACACAGCCATTTCTTAAAGGAGTGTTTTTGTCATACTGACCTATGAGTCCATCGTAAAAAGATCCCTCAACTCCAGAGATGGACCAGTTTGTGTCTACATGTCAGTGACGCTGTCACTAACAGATTTAGATCCAGCATGTAAAAACAACATCAGCATAGCATCTCAAACACGCTGCCAGTGCAGTAAAAGCAAAGCTCACAGAAGATCACATTATGGACTTTTGCACTTTCAGTTCTACCTGCTCAGCTTCAGGCAGCTGTGACAATCAGCCAGCAACCTCCAGACAGCAGAACAATCAAGTCAGGAAATACGTTCCTGTAGCAGCTGGTGATTATGTCACATCCAACATGGTGGAGAGCTCTTGATCAATGTGCACATGATATGATGTGGAAAACCTCTGTGGTGATAATAATGATAATGCAGAAACACATGTAGTTATATTTATGTTTGGAAATCTGAGGTTTTCACCTGTCAAGTATTAGTTAATGTTAGCCTACAAGCTAAACTGATACCCAGGGAAACATGGCTGCCTTCTTCATCAGTGATGTCAGTGAGGTTTGTTTGTCATTCTGTTCTTTGGAGTCGTGTTTTTGCTGCGAGCAACTTATTTGTTATTAACTGACTGTGTTCCTGAGCAGGTTTGCTTTTTGTTCATGCTGGGAGTGGAAGACGAGCAGGCACATTAAACTACATAGAACACTGTTAATAAACTGTGTGAATGCATTCATGCACCCAGCGTGTATGTGCAGTCGAATGCAGGAAGCTGTGTGGAATACACAATGACTGAACTCTCATTGTGAAGCTAGCTATTAGAATTGTGGTGCCGTGATATATGTAGTGCACTTTTAATGACATTATATTTCATTAAAAAGTTACGATAGAGAATAATTTCCTATTATATTCTGCTATATTTATTCCCGATGTCTTTACTAATGATGTTTTTTAAAGTGCTGCACGGTTGGCGTGCAGCATTCATACGTGTACACTGACAATAAATTCTATTCTGTAGTCTACTCTGTTGTGGAGTACAGATGTAGCCTCTGGACATGTAAAACAGCATACGGTATAGTTGCTACTACTAACAGCACTATTACACCTTTATAAACTGTGATGGCAACAGCAGATCAGGTCACGTGCACAGGATTACCCTCTGTGAGGTAAAGCGTAACACTTACATGTGATGGTGGAGATTTGGAGGCCACGCTCATTAAAAGTTCATTTGTTGCTATGGTTGCTTCTCCCCCCTCTCTGAGAGTGTGTCATACTGTGGCGGTCTGACTTTTACTTTGTTAAAGACCTTGATTCTTCATGCAGGCTGCAGTTTGCATCGTGCTGCTGGCAGCACTGACTCAGTCTGCTTTCTCAAAGTTGCCAGGTTTTTCTGTGACAACTTGTCTCAATGGCCAATTTGTGGTCACTCAGCCTTTTTGGAATAATGTCCCTGATTGTTCGTGCTGCCCAGTTAATCTGCCACTCTATATTGGCTGTTCTGTGCTAACCCAGAGCTGGAGTTTGGGCTCCGTGCTCAGTGCGCGCACTTTCTTTGGCTTTGATTTGCTGGTCAGAGGCTGAAAGGCTGGTTTAGGAGAATTCTCTCTGTTTTCTTCTCCTCGTACCGCCGAGCTCTTGTGTTTTTCACTTTATTTATTTGGTGATGAATGTCATATAAAACAACGTATGAACCTTGGCTAAATTTCAGTGCCTTTTTCTTAAATAGGCTGTGATGAAACATGCATAAAACAAAGCGTAGGATGGGAAGCAGAGCTTTCAGCTATCAGGCTACTCTCCTGTGGAATCAGCTTCCAATTTGG